ATATATATATTTATAAATATATACAAAGTTTTTTAAAATTATTCTATGTAGCACATATGCCACTATTGACCTCGTCATTGTAGCCATGAAGCATAGTTGTAAGACAAATTTGATTTGTATCCCAACTAAATGGTCTGATGTCGTTTATATTTTTCTTGGTGATTTTGGCTATTCCACGCCGGATGCACTGGTCCAGAAGTTGTTCCTCATACGTGGAGTAACTCGAGTTTGTCATTTGATTATTAGACTTATCTTGCTTTATAACATCACTATTTAAGCTAGAATGAGTTTCTTGACTGACATCTTTCAGAAAACTTTTGTCAGAGTTGTTTTTATTATTGATTAATATGGTGTTATTATCTTGACTACTTTGCTCTTCAATGATCTTACTTAAAATTTCTACAGAATGTAATCTTATTCTACTAGCTAAGAGTGCTTTTGTAGCTAAACAAGTCAGCCCTAAGTCCCAGCTAAACGGTCTTATTTCGTTGATATTTTGCTTTGTCAACTTAGCTATTCCTCTACGAATACATTCATCAAGAAGTTCTTCTTCATAATGAGTGAGATTCATTAGCTGATCATCCTCTTCTCTGCTATAATTTTCTTGTTGTAGATGTACAGATTCAGCTTCTTCTAATCCAACAGTTAAACCATCTTCATTATTTGATTCACCAATAGGTTCTTGCCTATCACTTTGTACTTTATGAACTTCTTCATTTAAACTTTGTTTTTCATTATTCAAAATACTTTTTTTTACTAATTCAAAGTCATCATCATCATCAATTGTTAATGAACTCAAACTACTAGCTGCCACTGAATGTAATTTAGTCGGAGTAGATTCATCTTTAAACGAAGTTACATAATCCTCAAAAACACTAGACTTGGAAAATGGATTCAGCCGTGGATTGTTTTCAGACTGTTGGTAAGGAATATCATTGGAGACAACTGATTGTTGATGTATCTGTAACAGAAAATTTTAAATAAATGAAAAGTGCGTAAATGAAAATACCCAGAATAGATAAGTTACCTTGGATTGATCCTGTTGGACTGTAGCTATTTTTTTCTTTCCAAAGCAACCGATTTGGCATTTTTGTTGCAATTTAGCACTTGAAGGCGTGAACTGTACTGGAGAATCAGGCAGTTCATTAGGCGAAACTCGACCACTTGTTTTATGACTGAAATCGCTCACAATCGAACTGCGATCATCGTTTACGAAATTTTGATCCTGACCAGCCAATGAACCCAACGAACTACGTCTCGAAAAAATCAAAGGCGTTTGCTGAGGGCCTTGAGAATCGCTTTTTAGTTCTAATTCTTTTTCATTTTGTTCTGTTGAAGATTGGGTGGATTGTGACGATCTATCGAATTTTTGATCGTAACTTTCTGAAGTTTTGAGAACTTTTGAACCCTCTGACGATCCAGACTTGGAACTTTCATGAGATCGTTTTTTGTCGCGATCTTTGAAAAAATTGAAGATTTCCTTAAAACTCCGACTAGAGACAAACATTTCCTTTTTATTTCTCGACTCTTTGCCATTGGATCCTTTGGGTTTGGTTATCTCTATTTTTTCCTCTTCAATTGCTTCTTCCATGCATAAAAGTTCTATAACAAAAGTATCAAAGAATTCGATATTATTGGTGATATTATGTGCATAAATAACAAAACTTAATACCATTTTTAGAACGACATTCTTTCTTTTCTTCTTCCAAATTTTGTTCATCGTAACAAAGTGCATAATTCATTGGTTGATCATCATTTTCAGCATATTCGTCAAGACTTTGAGTAGTAATAGAAAAGTGGGCAGGTACTTTGTCTTGTATGTAATTCATGCCTGTTTTTCTTAGTTTTACATTGAAAAATTCATTTTGTTCCGCATAGTCTTTCGAATTATTTTTTTTAATACTAACATCTATTTTTTTCTCTTGTTTCAGCATACAAAAAGCTGATTTTTCAGTCTGCACTTGAACACTTTGTGTACTATTGTATTTTTCCTCAACTCTCTTAAAAACAAATACAAAAAAATTTAATAGAAAACAGATCCTTTCTTACTAATTGTTAATATAACCATTATATTTACCATAGACTCCACTTCATCCACAGGTGAGCAACAAGTTCTATTTTGATCGTGTTTAGGATTAAATTCATCTGGATAATTCCATGACTTTTGTTCATTACTGCAGTATCTGTCATCATCATGATGTAAGCCATACTGTTTTACATTAGGAGTTTCTTTTGACATTTTAAGCAGTTGATAAACTCTTGACTCGCGACTTTCAATCAAACGTTTGCAATGTAATAACTATTAATGGGCTTACATGAAGAAATAACAATTGTTCGACAGTAAAACTGTTATTTACAGATTCCAACAGTTTTGAAGTTGATAAGACTACAAAATGATTTCAAAGCTGGAGTCTGGCAGTAAATGCCATTGTTTCCTTCATAATTTTTGCACAAATACTATACTATGTTGATAACATTACATATTCAATATCCAACAATTACATGTGTACTTAAATGAAATTAGTAAACTAATATGTACTCGACAATATTTACATGTTATAAGTATGTCAAACAAGCATATGTTTTGAGAGGTTACATTTTCTCTCCACACATAAATATAGGTATATGGGTACATGTAAATCACTCGTGTACTATTCATCCAGATAAAGTAGACTCTTTTTTTTTGTCTGCATAAGTATTTTTAGCTCAGGTGATAATGATTTTGGGGAGTCCCCGTATTTGAATATGCCAAGTTATTAATTAATGAGTCATTAATTGAAAATCCAAAGGGTCTGGTGATGTGAATGAGGAAAGGAAAAAAAAATAAAAAAAACCAATGTTGTTAAATAGTTTTTATTGCAAAATTGTTTCTAGCATATTTTTGAACCATCAATCGATGGCGGTTTTTCTTCCATTTTCAGATCCGTGGTTTTCTGCAATAAACGAGAATTTGTTGAACTTATGAAAAAAAAGAATACTTCGTTCCTCTAAAAGAGAAGATGGAAGTGAAAAAAAAAAAAAAAAAAAAAAAAAACTGGCAACTATCGAACCACACGGTAGTAATAAATAATCCATACCTTTGCAAATTTTCTGTTGAGTAAATTGCGGATAATCGGCGTGTAAAGCTTGGCATCCTCGGGCTTGTACTTGTTCGGCCCGGTGAGCCAAGAAATCAGCGAGCCAACTACTATCGCCGTCAAAAAACCAACCCACGTGTACCACAAGTACGACATCCGATACAACGGAAATGGCTGCTCCCTAAGAAGATATAAAAAAAAAAAAAAAAAAAAAAAAGAGAGTCAAGATAAAAAACTTTGTTGAACAAATCCATAAACCCTCCAAAACAGCGCTCAACTTTTTTCCATGAAATTTCAATCAAGCGCAATGTATCACTCTACACCTGTTAAATATACTCTCCTCGAAACTCTCCTCGGAAACTATAATTAATGTGCAGTATCGGTATACTGTATACGTACGCAAAGGAGCTCTTATTGCACGTATTGTATTATAAGTAGGTACTTGTAGCAAACCCGCTGAGTGGCTTAAATATATATATACATATATACCCGACACCCACTTCCTAATTGTTGTAGGTACAAGGTCCTGCCGGAGTTTCTATAAAGTTCACGCTTCCGCGCTTGAGTATCATCGACGAATATATCTCTCGATCCACATTATAATAGCCCACTTTATGTCGAAAACTGCTTTTATAGTTACAAGTACCGATCGATGGTGTTGTTCGCGAGTTTAATGCATCAACGCTTCGATGATGAGAATTGCCGTTCTTTGATGTTGCACGAGAAATATACAGCATGATATGTAACCGTGGCATTTCCCGAGAACCACGTGTAGAGCGATTTTTTCTGACGCGAACCCCGTTGGAATTAATTTTTTAGGGCAAATAGCTTTTAAATAGGAGCCGATTAAAAATACGTTCCAAACTACCCCTGAATGGGGTTGGAAGGCTATAGCGCGCCCGCATGAACTCGCGACGTTGCCACATTGTTATTGGAGCTTAGTCGGTAAGCAGTGAGAACTATATCCATGTGCGCACGCAAGAGCGTCAGCTACTGCTGGTAACTTGAAGGTTGGATGTAAAAATTTTTACCTTGAGGTAAATATTGTCTGCTCCTTAAGTTGTCAGTTGTTTATCCACGCGCTTACTGTCTTTCTCACTCTCATGTTGGACAAAAACATCTTTAAATTTTTATACTTAAGTAAT